CTCAGTCATTTGATTTTTCATTTCATTATATAATTCTTCATTTAACTAGAAGTGTTTGTATGTGAATTTGTTCCGGTCAAATCTTACAACTCAACTTGAAATCAGTTATTCTCAACCGGTTCAGCTGAATTTTGAATACACATTTAGTTTGGACATCGTTTTACACCCATTATGGCAGACTGGCGACTACTAAATAAAACGGTTTGTAAAATGGAAATAATTAGAAATAACATGATGTCACTCTAAATCCAATATGGCGGACCGCCCAAAATGGCGGCCACTTTTTCATGAACATCCTTGATTTGACAGTCAAATGATAGGGTTTGCGAGGAAACACACAGAAAATAACGAGAAGTCACTCTAAATCCAATATATCGGCCACATTACTTTTCCATGCACCTCGCGATATGGTTTTCAAATGAAAGTACTTGCAAAAAACATGAATAATGAAATGACGTCACTCCAAATTCAATATACGTTTGAATTATTGTATTATTATTCATCTACATATCTTTACCTCACCAAGCTATTATATCATATAAATTGTATATTGAAATGAATTGATGGATTTGATTCAACTTGAATAGAACATTCGACTTAAAACTGGTTTTTGAAAGAGTTCGTGTGTTTATTTCTTGATTTCTCATTATTAGTTTTATCATTTGTATAACTAATTACATTTCAGATACAAAATAAGACCCATTTCTCATTTCTTCACATTTTTTCATATAATTTCAATTTCTACATACTGACCCCAATATTTCGTTTTTGTTCTTTTAGCATTGTTAATATTTCATTCATTGAATCTGTTACTTATTTAGACATTCTGAATCGTTAATATAAACTATACTGTGATTCACAAAACAATGAGAAATTTGGCAACTTTGAAATAATTCCTATTTGAACTCACTTACTGGATCTCGATGGGAAGAAACTATGAATGAGAGTATCTTGATTGGGAGACATATGAGCCCTAATTTGTTCCCCTTTGCCCATCGCGAAGGTGAAGGTCATGGCAAAATACACGGCATCCTCTTACCTCTTTTAGCAATTTCAATAGTTCATTCATTGAATCTGTGACTTATTTAGACATTCCGAATCGTTAATATAAACTATACTGTGATTCACAAAACAATGAGAAATTTGGCAACTTGGAAATAATTCCCATTTGAACTCACTTACTGAATTTCGATGGGAAGAAACTATGAATGAGAATATCTTGATTGGGAGACATATGAGCCCTAATTTGTTCCCCTTTACCCATCGCGAAGGTGAAGGTCATGGCAAAATACACGACATCCTCTAACCCCGAAAAATAAAACAAGCTTGACTTGTACGCCGTTTGTTCCGTTGAAAAAAGACCGGTCGGTATTATTCTCGAGTTGAAATAGAAATGAGGGACGATTTCGAAGTTATTGTTGTCTCCAGACAAGTCTGGATATCGATTTTGTCGGCTTTACTGACCTAAGATATTGTAATTTTTCTCACGTACCGCTCATGTGACATTCAATGGTAAAGGGAAAGAGAATTATAGAAAGGTCACATACTTTTTTCAAGTTTTTCCTACGGTTGTCCCAAATCAGCTCATTTTAATGTAATTTATTGATTTCTTTAGGAAATTAAATTGCCTTTGCTATGTAGGCATACATGTTTCATAAATCTTATGATAAATAAGTGAATTTCCTATGCAGAGTGACCTACCGATAACATACTGTTGACAGACTTGCCAGGAAAAGAACTTCAGGTTGTTAAATTATTTATTAATTTGGGAAAGTATTCATTTATTTGCAGAAATTGACTGTATATCGATGTGAGATTTCACTTACTTGGAACACTACCTTCGAAGTTTTCAATTCAAAATTTGGCCTTATGTAATGCAAATTTCATTTGTATTTGACCCTGAACAAAGTAACTGCATAAAATATTCATTTTTGAAAAGGAAGTTTATTCCTTAAAGTGAAACACATTATTATTTAAATAATAGTTCAACTGAAGAAACTCAAATGTTTTAGTTAGTATAAACAAAATATGTACGAAATAGAATCAGAAAAGGATATTTGATTATTCAGAAGTGATGAGGACAACAAGTGATTTTCAATCTACAGCCTGCGATGATCAGCTTGAACAGTAGTTGATAATGATAATAATAAAAATAGGATTAATAATTGAGTGTCTACATGACAGAATGGTACTGGACATTGTACAGTCTTGGATGGTTTCCGGGTTTTGCCGTGGTCTTTTTTGGTTTTAATCTCTAAACGTTTCGACTGCAACTGCGGCAGTCATCTTCAGTGGCGTGATCGAAGTACTCTTCTTGACGTGTCAACTGTTGACTGCCAAAGTTGCTTTTGAAACGTTTGGAGATTATAACCAAAGAAGGCCAAGGCAAAACCCGGAAATCATTCAAAACATTGACGCCAGCCGTGGAAGCCTACATTCCTATATTGCTAGTGAAGTCGTCAGGAGGATCCCCTCCTTCGCATAGTCGGAGACCGTAAGAAAGCAGAAATTGAAGCATTTCTCTCCAAGGTAGCTGCCCGAGCAGCCGGTTTAGTTTTCGACTTGAATCGAGGTTATAATAACTTTGTCACCAAGTTGAAACCCGTTCAGCAAAAGGCCCACATAAAAGCCTCATAGATCACTTCATTCCTGTGTCAACACGAGGATGAGCCAATGGGGTCTACAACAACAATGAAGACCTCGGCGTATCAAAGTAACCGACGTTTCCTTTACTCAGAGAGAGTTACATTCGAAAACCGAAGATTTCACCACGGCCTGCCAGGATGGTGTCTTCAACAGCTTGGTTTGCGGTAATCGCACGATGGATATGAAAGTTTCTGATATCAGATGTAGGTCTGCGAGGTGCCTGTGATCTTAAAGCACTTGTTGTCGGAATGTCAGGCATATTTGATCTCAACTCATCTCCATCGACATACTGAGGCTCTAAGAATGCGTTATTAACACCTACAGCACTCTCTCGGCACTCTCTCGTTAGTGACGACATACCAATGTTTCCTCGTGATCCAGGAAACATTGAATCTGTTATGAGGTATAAACAGTTCCCAATGTATTGGAACTCATCAGTCTTCATCTACAGGCTGATACAACCTCTTAAACCTAATGTAGTCCTCCTCGACCATTGGAGCAAGACTATATCCATCGTGGAGTTTTCAGCTCCGTCTCAGGCAAATATTGTTCGAAAAAAAATCCTTTCCAGACCACCTTGTTCAAAATATTGGTTCAATTGTTGGAATTGGTTCAATTGTTGAATTATTGCCCTCAAGGTAAAATCGGTTTTTCGAAGTAAGGCCTCAGAAATTCGAAAGACTGTCATTCCTGGTTCATTACATCTGCATAGAGCACTTGAATCTAAGACTCAGTAGAATGTTTGAATCTTTAAATTAATTTCCATTGCTTCAAATGATTCAGTTTCAAACCTTCATTTTTTATGTGCAAAATTTCGAACTCTTCGTTAAAGAGATGAATTTCTTTTTAAATGTGATTTGAATATGCTGAACTTGTTTTCTTATTTAAATAGGTCATATGATGTTACTGGATTCGATTCCTAAATGTTCTGCCAGTTGGACCAATATATACCTTAGGACACGTTCCACACTGTAATTTATATACTCCTGATTTCTCGAATTTGGATTCGAGAAATTGGAATTGATTGAGGATCGATACTAGTTCTTTTGACCTTTTTTTAAAATAGTGAATTATTTTCATTATTTCATGTTCTGCTACTCATGATCTATGTTGACATTTTGGTATGTAATACAGGGTAAAGACATATTGGATCCGACATGTTTCTGTAGTGATAATAAAATGCCTTTCAAAGAATATGAAGGGTACATTTCGACACATATAGAGTGAGATGGTTCCAATATTACAGGTTTCTTGTAAAGGTTATTACATGACATATTCTGAAATTGAGCTGTGATTAATGTCATTTAAGACATCATTTAAATGTACAGTTTATATTAATTTGGATATTCGGCAATCACAAAAATATTAATTCGGCATAAAAAGCTTGGAATAGCCTATTTTCGTCATGGAAACTGAATAGTAATACTCATAATCGGGATAAACTTGGTAAACAGTTTTTTTTATTAGGCAGCATCGACTCCTCAAGGTATTTTTGATTTGGGCCACATCATTCAGCCAGTGTTCTTGTAGCGTCATAGGCATATTCAGTGACTGTCTAAGTTGTTCGTAAACTTGACATTCGATTAAGATGTGATTGACCGTTTCTATTCTGATGCAGATATTGCATACTTCTGGTCTATCGATCCGTAATATGTGAGATAAACGTGTATCGATGCTAAATGTTTTGTTTGATTGAGTGTAGTGTTCTCTAGCTCTTTGACACAGTTGATATGGATAAGTTTTTAAAACGTTGCCAACCTGGTCCTTCAAACAGTGGTTCTGAACCTAAACTTTTCAAAAGTATTGAAAATGATGTGAAAACTGTTGAAAGTGTTACTGAGGATATCGGTACGCCAACTGAATCAAATGCAGCCACAATCCAGAATTACATCTAGTACAAGTAAAAAAGGAGCCAATCGAAAATATGATTCTAATTATTCGGCATTTGGGTTTACTTATACTAAGGATATAAATGAGCCCATTCCACAGTGTGCTGTTTGTATGGAAACACTATCCAAACACAGTATGAAACCTTCACTTCATGAGACATTTTAATACAAAACATAGTAATTTGAAAGGAAAACCTGTGGCGTATTTTGAAGGAAAAGAAAATGAGCTCAAAGGGAGCAAACCTACAATGAGCTCATTTTCATCTTTAAAAGCCAGGGCAGTTGGAGCCTCGTATAAAGTTAGTTTGAGAATCGCTCAAGAAGCTAAGCCACATACAATTGGCGAATCTTCAATATTACCGGCTGCCAAAGAATGTAGTTTCTTCCATTTTAGGAGATATAGAAGCCAAGCTGCTTGATGTTGTTTCTTTATCTAACAACACTGTAACACGCAGAGTGAAAGACATGACACTAGATGTAAAATGCATGTTGGTTAATAGAATCAAAGACAGTCCCTATTTTGCGCTGCAAATTGATGAGACAAAAGATATAACCAATTTGCCAAATTTGCTGTGTTACGTTAGGTATGAAGACGGTAATGGGGTAAATGATGATATGCTATTTCGTGAGGTATTACCGAAACATACAACTAGGATATTTTTGTGAAGTTGAATGGTTTTATGAATGAGCATGATGTGGATTGGAACAAGGGCGTGGGACTTTATACATATGGAACCGCTGCTATGGTCGGGCGTCACGCTGGAGTTGTAGCTAGAGTAAAACAAGTGGTTGCCCAAGCAACATTCACGCACTGTTGTTTGCATCGAGAAGCTTTGGCAAGCAAAAACTGCCCTGATAGCTTGAAGGAGGTTTTGAGTCAGGCTGTAAAAACAGTAATTTTATCATGGCACGTGCTTTAAAATCACGTTTGTTTGCGATATTATGTGATGATACGAGTATGGGTGGTTTGCACAGACAGCTGTTGCTGCACACAGAGGTCAGATGGTTGTCAAGAGGGAGAGTATTGACACGTTCGTTTGAGATGCGCCACGAAGTTTTCATGTCGAAGAAAATGACCTCAAACTGAGTCCTGCACTTCTGACGGACATCTGGTTTGATTCAAAGCTACAACATAAATATATTTTCCTGAAGACTTCAGAAAATATTCCTGCATCCAAAACCCGTTTGCTGATATAGAAATGGAGCCAGAAAACTTTACTGCGATAGAAAAGGAACAGTTGTATGAACTAAATTGTAACTCAAAACTACAGCAACAGTTTTCAAAAAAGTTGCTCGTGGACTTCTGGGTTGAAAGGCGTGCATACTTCGCACAAATAGCTGACAAAGCAGTAAAGTTTTAAATTACATTCACAACTTCCTACTAGTGTGAGACAGCATTCTCTTCACTTGTGTACCTGAAAAACGAGTATCGGAATAGATTTGTTAGTATGGAAAATGATCTCTGTTTTAGATTGAGCAATATTAAGCCAGACATTGACAAGTTGGCTTCTAATCATCAAGCTCAACCTCCTCATTGAAGTATTGCAACATATTTTTGTTGTATTTTTTCTAACAGTATAATGTGTTTTATATTTATGAATTCCTTGTTCACATCAATTAACAAATTATTATAATACTACACTGAATTTTATTTTTCATACTCATCGTTGGAAAATAGGTTGGTTAGGTTAGCAAAATAATAAATAATGTACATATTCCATCCATAATTACCTACACGAGACGAAGTGATATTTTAGGGATATTTTAGGCAACGATAAATTATCTGTAATGACTCTTCACACAAATGATTATTCTAGAGCTAGAGGAATGAGTTTCGAGAAAAATACAAGAATAAAAATTGGAAGAAAATCTAAATCTCATCCGTTCCCCAAAGACTCTCTCCCTACGCACTAACATTCCCGTAAACGATTGTTGTTATTAAACAGCAACTGCCTCACATCAACTTTATTAAAAAATGCCTTCTTCTCGAAGATGCGCGAGAGTCATTTTTCAGGTCCTCCGGGGAGCATCTGCCTTGAGTAGGCCCTTTCACGAGTCCGTGGAATATCGTCATTTCTCTTGCTCCCCAAAGCCAAACAAACTTTATGAATAGTCGCGTCGCTTTAAGCTAGTGCAGCCGTAAATCAAAATTGAAATAAGCCGCACGGACAATATTAAATTTATGCCGGGCATGATTTCATTTGGCGCAATTTGGTAGAGTATAGCATGGTGAACGGGGTGAGAAAATGGTTAGGTAAGAGTGGCAGTTGAAAAAATTATAATTTATGTGAAATATAATTCGACGAACGCCATCAAGAGCAGCATGAACCTTTCTTTGATGATAATTTTCCTCCTCAATACTTACATATTCACACAATAATGATAATAATAACGAAAATAATAATGGAGAGAAAAAATAATAAATAAGCTTCATTGTCAGAAGAATGAATTTTATGAAAATATTTTTAAATATAAACTGTTAATCAAAACTACAAAATTCACAATTCCACCACTAATACAAGCGAATGGTTTTATTGCAACAACAGCTATAGAAGAAGCAAATCTACTAGCTGAACAATTTGCGTCTCATCCCACAGTCGATTTTCTGGGAAAAGTACCACCCACTATTCCTACACTAGAATCCACAATGCTGGAAATTACTTTTTGACAACGATTAATCAGGCGATTTTTGAAACGGCTCAATAACAACAAGGCGTCTGGTCCTGATGAAATGCCCGGCATCGTACTAAAAAATGCGCACCAGTATCTGTATCTGCAGAGTAGGGAAGGTGAGTGTAGCCACTTAGGTCACATTGTACATCCTCCTGAGGAGTTGTCCTTTCCAGGAAGGTGGACAGGCCACTAGGAGACATCTTCTTCATATCAGCAGCATTTATTGACGGAAACTCACATAGGACATGTCTGACAGTTCCATATTCCTGTTCACACATCCTGCATAGATATGTGTCCACTAGTCCCATATTATGGAGGTGTTTGTTCAGTTGAAAGTGGCCAGTCAGAAATCTTACTGTTAAGCGTAGGTTTTTCCTGGTCATCGCCAGATATTTCTTCGGCGCCAGCTTCCAAGGGTC